TCATTTAATTAAACGGTCGCGAGTGCCTCGAGACACTGGCGAGGCGCGCGAGCTGGACCATTCATGCGGTGAAATCGCTGAGTGACCGCGGTGGCGAAGAGAGAACGAATACGGTACTTTTCCCGTTCTAGTGGCTTTAGCTAGCAACAGCGAAGATGTACGCTTCATAGCGGACATGTACACTATAGCAGAGAAGCACTGGGTTAGTATGAGCAGATATGTAAATTTATGCGTTATAATACCAACCTTACCTCCTGCACATGCAGTGCGAGCATTTTCAGCGTAGCATTATAATCATCATCAGCCTGACTAAGCCCAGTGCAGGACAAATGTTTTAGATGCGGAAGCATCTTATACTCGCGCCTTGTAGTGCACCGTCCGCGCCGTCCGCACCGCTTCTCGAACATTCGACAGCTGACGCGCGCGCATGCGCCGTCGCGCCGTCGCCCACCATCTGTGCCGCGCGCGCTTCTCCCTCGAGAACATTCGACAGCTGACAGCGCATGCGCCGTCGCGCTGTATATATACTCAAGGTCGGCGCTCGCTCGCTCAGTTGCCGCTCGTCGGTTGGTGTGTACGGCGCGTCGACGTCCAAGGTCGCGGTGAAATGAATTCCAACGAATCCACAAACACAATGATCGACGTCCCTTCGACCAGCGCCGCCCTTTCGCATACGTGTGTACGTGTTCACTCATTTAACACCCCCTCCTACAACCACGTTAACCAATTTAGCCATCGGCCCAAGTAAGTCGCAATTTAACACCCCATTTCACAACCACGTTAACCAATGTAGCCATCGACCCAAGTAAGTCGCACTTTAACACCCCGTTAACCAATTATATGCTCCGCATCCTCCTCAGTGTTCCCCCGAGGGAAGCTGCGGGCAATTTTTCTCCCATGGTCCGCCAATAAACCCGGTCCTGTGTTTTGTGTTGCAACGTTATACCTGCAATATTCTTAATCAGAGTAGCAGCTGACCTCATAACGAGCCATTGTGGAAGGATCAGTTGCGAAAGATTATAAAACAGCTCTTGTTAAAAGTTAATTGAATCTAACACTGTATCACAGAGTAGAAGGACGGAAATTTTGAGGGCTCGCTTTCTTTTTGTTGGACAAAACCTTAATCTAGGCCAAAAATGATGGAGCCAGGCTGGATTTCATTAGGACTATACCATGGCAGTCGCAGTAAGCCTCCCTGAATTCTCTCAAGATTCCAGCCTTTTCCATAGCGTTATAGCCACAGTAGTACGTTGTAGCCTGAGTAGACTTGTATCGTTACGTTACGACGATGAAATATAGAACAAAAACCACGCAAAACAACTCGAATACATTTTTGTGTTTGCTCAGTTACCTTTATGGAGGTGTGATTGGCGGCAATAATCAGTTACGTATTAAACTAAATACTTGTAATTCTTATCGGTCATTTATTTTCCGTAAGGTGTTCAAGTCTGGCAGTAAGGGATGATATAGTGTGACGTGTCAACAAAAAGAAATGCCGAGGGACCTATTGCATGGGCGCCTAGTGCAAGAACATACAACATTTTCGCACGCGCACAGATACACAGCGCAGCCAGGTTTTTAGTCCAGACAGTTGTCAGCTTCCGGGTTGGGAAGACCTTTTTTATCTATATTATTCAGGTGAGAATACTGCTCAACGAAGCATCGGACGTTCAGATGTATGCAATCTTCTATTCTGCAACAACCTATTTTTTTAAAATATAATCTCACTCTACACTTTCACAGATTCACACAATTCATTTAGCATACTTGGTCTTTCTTGCATCGGTGTCATTTCGGCACTTAGCGTTACTGTTTTTTCCGCTATCTAAACTCAAAATCAAAATACTATGCGGATCACCAGCATTCCGCTGCCTCTGATATGCTGCCGCTAAGGCGAGGATTTGATCTCGCGACCTGCGCGTCAGCAGTCAAACACTGTAACCACTAGACCACCGTGGCAGGTTGTAATCCACCCAGAAATATGCATATTATACAGGGTGTCCCGGATATCACGCAGGACGATTTCAAAATAGAGAAACTTAATTACGTGAACCAAGGACAGTGCATATCGTTCCCATTAGGCTGTAGCAGTCACTATTAATTAGTAATCACCACTAATTAGTCTTAATTACATTAGCATCTCTGGAAGTACTTACCTAATTATCAAGATGTAAATGAAGCAGATGTGTGCATGCTGAAAGACAAATAAATGTCTGCGTTACTTCGAACAGCGTACTAGCTGCGTGCTCATTCTTTTCTGTTAACTTCTGAGAACTGGCTAACCTCCCTTCCTTCCTCATTTATTCCTCCTCCTCCTCCTTTTCTTTTAATTAAGAAAGCCCGCGAAATATGAAAAATAACGTGACTGCGCTTGCATTAGCAAAAAAAAAAAGCATCACCCTGAAATAAACTTACTGCAAGCGATCGCTTTGCCTCTTTTCCGTTGCCAGACACAGCGTTCCACAAATTGCAAGGGTCGGGCGCCAACAACATGTGCCGCAATCTTGCAGGGAGACCTTTCGCGTGATTTTGCGTCACTATCACAATCCATATCCCACAGTGAACTGCTTTTATTGATAAAGTGGCTGGAACACTGTTTTTATTACAGCCTGAACGACTGTCTGAGATCACAGCGGTGCATTTCTTCGGACGGGAAGGGGAGATGATGCAATCCGCATTTTTTTCTACATATTAATTGGTACTGGTCACCTCAAACAGAGCTTGTTTGAAGGCGCTGCTTTCAGATGCGCGCAGCAGTCTAGCCATGTGTTATTTTTTTATATTTAGCGGGCGTTCTGATTGATTGATTTGTGGGGTTTAACGTCCCAAAACCACGATATGATTATGAGAGACGCCGTAGTGGAGGGCTCCGGAAATTTTGACCACCTGGGGTTCTTTAACGTGCACCCAAATCTGAGTACACGGGCCTACAACATTTCCGCCTCCATCGAAAATGCAGCCGCCGCAGCCGGGATTCGAACCCGCGCCCTGCGGGTCAGCAGCCGAGTACCTTAGCCACTAGACCACCGCGGCGGGGCTAGCGGGCGTTCTCTTCCAGCATGAAAAAATGAGCACTCAATTAGTACGTTGTTGGAAGTATCAAAGACAGATGTCATTTAAACATGCGCACATCTGCCTCGTTGAGATTACGATGAAAAGACGAATACTTTTTAAGTTGCAAATGTGATAATGAATAATTACTCAACTGTCATTAACGAAAAAAAAAATAGTATCGCTTGCTACACTACACTGGCAGCAATATGCACTAAGTTCGGTTCGCGTAACACCGTTCCTCTTCTTTAAAATCGTGCTGCGCGATAATTGGGGAACCCCGTATAATTGAAAGAATAATCGTAAAAGCGGCTTCTGTACCACAGGTACAAACCTTCCTACGGTTGCAGATGTAGGGAGCCACTGTGGTTCTCGCGGAATAAATGAAATTACTGTTTAATTTAATGCATCTCATCGCGCAGGAAGAATACGTGCACACAATTTTCAGCCAGCAAGAAAATTTACACGCGATAAGTAGTTCCGGAGAATTATCCTTACTCGAAATAATTGCGAGGATACTTCGGTACGGCTCTAAGCCAGGCACAGTTTGTGCGAGGAGCTCATGACGGTGTCAATTTAACAAGTCGGTACACCAGCCTTTAGTGCTACGCCAAGATTACGAAATGAACGAAGAAGCTTAAGGTGACGAAATCGACCATGTCTTGACGGCTGCACGTGTCGTCGACTTCGATAGAACGAGGGTTGTTCGGCCGATCATTAAAATGCACGAGATTATTGATTGCCAACGAGGACGTATATTTCAAGTTTCAGCTCACCATTTTTAGCTGAGTACAAATGTCGGCAAAGTTTAACGTATGACCGCCATGAATAAAACAAGTTGTGCGCCTTACGTCTTCAATTATCTTCATAATCAAATATATAGAAACATTTTTCGCAACTCTCGACTTTGCCGACAATTTGCGAAATAGTTCAAGAAAAAATCCTTATTCGACCTTCTAGTTTTGGTCACTATTTTTCACCTGTATATTAAGCATCAGTATTTCTGTCTTGCCGGTCGTTATGCTTCAACGTATTTGTCGCGTGCTTTGCTGCAATTTTTTTTCCCTTGAAAACTCTGGTATACGCGAAGCTTTTCGTCCTTTAAGGCTCTTTCCCGATGTTCGCCCATCTTTGATAATGATAAGTCTCGTGCTAAGGTTAGCCAAGGATTTTTTTAAAGCTTAACTCAAGTCTAAGTTACTCTTGTCTGTGTGTGATTGTTTGGCGGCCTTACATTATGCCTGGTAAGTAGCACGTAATGCACTCTCCCTGAAGCAACACTCCAAAAACCCCTTCAATTCCCAAATCAAGCGCAACGTGGCTGACGTCGCTTCATGAGGCCATCTGCGATCAATCAAATTTTATGACAGGCTGTTCGATTTTACCTGTTCAGACGCACACGGGTTGCATGCGGTACATACAGTAAGTCAGAAAAATGGGGCAGTTAGGCTCTTCATGTGTATGAGAGTCTTCTTTGAATGGTGTAGCGCTAAATGTGTACAAAACATCATTTCCCGCACGCATTCAGAATCTATTAACCCCTAGTCCAGTACTCACAACAACAAAATTCGCTAACTAGAGGTGTTTGCAAGGGCATTATTTAGCCCATCGAAGTGTTTACTTATCATTGAAGCCTTGTATTTTTCATCAAATGGGAGTAGTGTCCATTGTAACAGTTGTCAGCGTCAACAGGAATAAGTTGTACGATAATGCCAGGATGTGACGTCATCATGACATAGTCTCGTGGTGACATGGCATCAGTTAATTGTCATGTTTCTTCTCACAGTCCTCACTATACTTTACTATACTGTACTATATAATACTATGGCCACTATACTAACATGCACTACACTTCACCCAATTGTAATAACCAAAGTACTATTCCATGTTTTACATGACTTCCCACATTATGTTCACAATACCGAGATGAAGGTCACACAATGCGACGTGCGTCTGGCACAACAGCTTTATTGGCCTTCATTGTGAGGCCTTCGGAAGTTTCACTGTCACAACAAACATTTGGTAATAAATATGTACAAGAGCGCTTGTCTTCACATGAAATAATATATATATGTATGTATAAGTGTATGTATAAGGATTCACCGAAGTGTTCTCGTGGACACTGAAGCAAAAGTTCAGCCCGCGACTCACTGCAAGGCGCCACATTTGTTGCTCAGCTTGTCGTCGCCACTTTGTTCTGGTATGCGTTAGATCTCTGCAGCCTTGGTGTGAACGCAGAGCAGTTAGCGGCGTTTTGTGGACGGGCAAGCGCTGTGCATGCGTTAGTCCCAGGTGACTCGCATATTGTCTTCTATAATTACAGCTCGCCCCATCTGGAGGGCATGTTAGGAACCGTGTTCAGTGAACCACAAGTCACCATGGGATTCATCATTCACTCGCGACCGAGTCTTGTGTCTGTGAAACACAAACAGTTTCTTCACGAATGTCCAAACACGAAATGATGAAGCGCGTTTTGAAGATAAGTCACTCATAAATTAGTATTCGTTGCGAAAATCACAAAAACAGTTTTTTTTTCCAGTCTTGAAAAGTTGAAAAAGAAAATCACTCGCGAAGGGTCACACACTCCGGGTATTTTCCACTGCTACTGCACTGACTTGCCGTTGCACATGAGACGAAAGGAACACAGGATAAGGAAACAAGAACAATGAAATATCGCTGGAAACATTAGGGACTCAAGAACACTGTACACACAAAGCGAGAGAAGCCGTTCTTTCAAGTAAGCCCGAAAACTCTTCTTTAAGCACTCGAACTTAGTTACTCAGCTCGCCATACTTTTGCGAGGTGTTCTATTCTTCAGCCACAGTCGCTGGTCCTGCCATTTCTTTCGCGCAGTGAAAAATAGATCTCTACACCTTTTTGGCAGCAGTTCGTTGTCACAAAAATGTTTCCATCGTTCGAGCATAACAGCCGAGTGCTGGCTTCTTGTCCTGCAAGGGAGACGATGCCAGCTCGTTCCACGTGAAACGCACAGCGTTATTCGTCAGACGTTCTCAATAGCTTCATTTCTGTCATTTCTTATTACCGTTGTGCATTTAGGTCCCGATGGTACCGGGGACTAAACGGGCGTGCCCTTGTCGTTCCAGGCAACATCCCGCCTTGATTTAAAAAAAAAGACTTCTGTGGAGCCCGACGTCTTGCCCTTCGTGGTCTGTCGGTTAGCGTTTTTTTTTTCAATCCTACATCTCAAATATCGTTCACACTTCAGTGCCTTCGTAGTTTCCTTCGCCGTACCCTTCGTCTGGAGAGTATCGGGTATCACCGCCGACCGCGACGCAGGCCGCGACCGGAGGTGCGACTACTGCAGTTGCGCTTCCAAGAAGTCGCCGTGGGTTCGACTACCCTCCACTGTGCGGCTGCCGCTGAGGGTTCCGGCGGCGAGTAGAGGTCGTGCCTGTACGGTGGTTCGGGTGGCTCTTCGAGGTACCGGTCGGGCAGCGCGAACTGGCCGTAACAGGGGTCGGCTGGATTGGCATAGCCGTTGCCGATGGGCCCGTATCCGTTGGGCTGCCTGGAATAGTCGAGCCCCGCGCCGCTCTTGCCGTGAACCAGGTCGGGCGTCGTCCGGTCTCCGGGTGACTGCGCCGAGCCGTCCTGTGGCGACTGCTGTTGCATGGCGGCCAGCTGGGCTGCCTTCGTGTCGCTCGGCGTTGCCACTTCGACCAGGTCTGCCTTGCGCGCCAGCTGCTTGAGCATGCCTGGAAACTTGGCCCTAGAGGCAGCCAGAGCCCTCTGCCGAGCCACGACGAAGCACAGTATGAGAGCCAGTATGACCAGCGCCAGGAAGCTGGCCAGCACGATGACCACCTTGTAGGTGCGCGAAAGGCCGCCGGCCACCGGTGGCGCCTGCACAACGGCCAGCGTCGTGTTGGCAGCCCGCAGTCCGGCGCGGTTCTCGGCGACGCAGATGTAGACGCCCGCGTCGTAGGGACCCGCGTGAGCCACGGAAAGCCAGCTCAGCTGAACGGCCCGCTCTGCTTCACGCTGCACTTGGAAGCGGGTCGAGTCCAAGTCCGGACCCGACGTGCCGTCCGTCGAGTTCCAGGCGTTGGCACCCCAGTCAGCCGCCTCCCATCTGGATGAGGAAGGAAGCGTAAGACACAATGAGTTATCGCGAAAACATCGTGACTTTCTTGAAAACAATAATGTGACTATAACTGAGACAGTCAGAACTGTTATTCGAGACCAGGTAGGAGCGTAGGCCTAGCCAGCGAAATCAGCGACAACGTTCGGGCCGAGCGTCTCGTGCTTAGCACTGACAATGTGTTTGCCGAGCTTTGCATGACCCACTACACTCATCATTACATAACAATCGTTGTGTTTTTACGTCCCGAAACCCCGATGTGATCCTGAAGGACACCGTTCTGGGTGGCTCTGAAAACTTTGTGCACCTAAATCCAAGTACGCGGGCCTCCAGCGTTTCAGAAATAAATAAATAAATAATAAATAAATAAATAAATAAATAAATAAATAAATAGAAAAAAAGAAAAAAGAAATAAAGAAAGAAAGCAAGAAGTAAGGAAGGAATAAAAGAAGGATCTGAATCCCACTGTAAATATTTAAATAGAAACACCAAGAAAACAAACCTGACAACTTCATTTAGCTGCAATGCATGAAGGGAGAGCAGCAGAATGAGTGGAAAATGGAATGAATGTGAACACTCTTAAGCTACCGCTGCTTGCTGATGAAGCGTACGGGTAGACGACACTATTAATAACGAATAATAGTAGTAGATATTCACCAATGTGTGCATGTCAGCGAAAGTCGAGCCTACAGAGCAAAACAGGTACACTTAAAATGGGCTCGGCTACTTAATGTAGCTTTTCTAATAATAAGAACCCTATTAGAGAAAAACTCTTCAATCGTGGCATTAGACGGAAATAATTACGGAGACAAAGCGGGGCCCATCTCTGGTTTAATGGAGGACTGCTTTTTTTCTTTCGTCTAACGGCGATTGGAGCTCCAGCAGCATTATTCAATTAGAAAACTCTGTGCTCCGTGTGCTACCGCTAAAACGATCGAAAAGTATAAAACGAAATCAAACTCCTAAGTTTCGTAGCGGAATTTCATTTATTTCGGCTAAAGTGATTATCCGGTCCGTACGACTAAAACCCCTTAGCGCATGGACGGCGTATGTGGGCTTAACTCTTTGTTGTTTGCCGGATTATTATCTTACGTAGTCGTCATTGTCGGCAGTGGACAGAAAGAAGGGCACATGAAAAGCGAGACCATGCACTTATATCAAGAATGAGAAAAAAAAAAGGTTTACATAACTTACGTGTTCAGGGAAACTTCATCATATAGTTAGCATTTTTATTGTCTACTCTGTGACCACAAGAGCGTACAAAAAAAGGCGATTTTGAATACGTGAACAACGTCATCAACGATATAGAACGGGACGTAACACGAGCGTAAAAGGGCAGCACACAACGTGGACTGACAGCAAACTGAAACTGAAAAAAAAAAAACAAAGATCGCAACGCCTGCACTAAGCCACTCGAGGAGCAAAACTGGACGGTTCTGGAGACTATTGTGAAAGCTTTTACGTCTGTGGGCCTTAGCTATAGCTGGTGCATGTTTCGTTTAGGTTGCTTGTACAGGTCATTACTAGGCTTTAGCTATGCTATGCTACGTTGTTTTTACATTGATACGTTGATTCTCCGCGCAGAGAGGTCCGAGTTGAAGATCTGTCAGTCACGGACTGCGACGCGGGTGCCCAAACTGCAGAGACACAACCTCGCGCTGAAACGAAGCGTTCGCACTTCTCGCAGATGCGCGTCGTCGTTCGGTGGGGCCCTTCTCGCAGCAGCCCTTGCCTCTCGCGTTCCTTGTTATTCTCTCGCTCAACAGACAATCGAACTAGTTGGTGAGCATTTATTAAAAAAAAAGAGACAGGCCGCACCAACACGGACGCGAGAAGTCACAACACGGACAACATCGACGTTTGCGGTAACTGGATGGTGTATAGCGAATCCCAACGCTGTTACGTCGTCAAAGATTTTTCAATCGCATAAGCACCGAGTGACCCGTTTATCACTATTTGAAGAATATTAGGAACTAAGCACCTTAGGGTCTCCGCTTATCGTCATGTCATGTCGCCGTCATGGTCAATCGCAGATGAGTATGCGACACAGATAATGGGTACATTCCAGAACTCGTCACTAGAATATGTATAGTATCCGAATTACAACCTGATGGTTCGTCGTCTCGTTACTGCCTAAAACGTTTTGTTTGACTTAGAAGTTGTGGTAGAGTTTCCGACGAAATTTACCAAGGTACCCAAGTTTCTTCTCAATAACAAGACACAAACGGGCATCTCAACGGTTAAATAATTTGTTCAAAACACTTCTCCTTGAAGCGTACCTGCAAAGTGGATAATGCTTTATTAGCTTTACTCGCAACTGTTCCACTAAAAACAAATCTCAGTACACACATCAGAAACGACAAGCTCATATGAATCTTCGTCAGAGCCAAACGCCAGCGCAGACAAGAGAATTCGAGTAGCAGAAGTAAAGGTTCTGGAGGGGCTTAAGAAGTTCGCCGCGAGAACGCCATCTACCTGCACGTGGAAAGAAGCCGACGCACACTACGCCATGTATGATTGTGAATAAATGTACATGTGTACGTAATTAAAACAAAATCGTCTTCTGTCTCTCGGTGTTCATTAGCGACAATTCGCTGTGGGAAGCACCGATGCACATTGCACCCTTCCACCCGATCCCAGATTACGTGTTATGGGAGTTTAAACACCCTTCCTTACATGCTACTTCTCCACAATTTTCGCTTCGAGTACTCGCTGTGAATATCGCTAGCTAACTTGCACTGGTCAGCCAGGACGGTGAAGTATGTAGCTGATCTAGTACTGAACTTCGTCCTACAATAGAGCACACGAAGCCGAACGAACACTGCTCAGGCAAATCCACACTGCTGCTCCCACAGTAGCTAGCACCAGATGTCCCTTTAGTCTATTTCGATTTCAACAATTGCTTTCTGTTTGCTGCATATCAATAAAAGTCTTCTAAAACAGATCCCCGTGGTTCTAGTTCTGGTCATGTTGGACAAATAAAATATTGGGGCAGAATGCCACTTAATTTATTTATGTTAAATGTCATTTACCTATCAGAAGAATTATTATAATAATTTATACAATTCATTTAAGGACTGTCAGCAGTGGGCACGTTAAAGGAACCCCAGGTGGTCGAAATTTCCGGAGCCCTCCACTACGGCGTCTCTCATAATCATATGGTGGCTTTTGGGGCGTTAAACCCCTACATATCAATCAATCTGTCAGCAGTGGGAAGTGTTGCGGCCCCTGGTGGGACCGATATCAACCGCGCGTTTCCTTCTACATGGCCTCTGAGATTCCGCTGCGGGAGCGCGTGAAGCACGAAGTCAAATAAGTGAATAAACCTGAACACACAAACGCCGACGTGCAAAGTGCCACTACCCGACATTAAAGTCAATTTTTTCGGGATCTCTTACATATTTTTTTTGTTTCATTGTCCCGATAGAAGTGGAGCATTTTCTCCTTATTCGACGTAGCGCGTTTTGAAACATAGGACAAGGAAAGGGACAGAAGGGAGCGCTTTAGAGGGTCTAGAAGGGAGGCAATAGAGGGTTTTTCATCTCTTTGTCTGTTGTTCTAGAATTTCATGAGCATTATATATGTACGCTCCTCGAAATAAAGTTTTGTTGGAAGTAAGCACTACCTTCTGTCCCTTCCCTTGTCCTATGTTTCAAAACGCGCTACGTCGATTAAGTATGTCTTACCAACATGCCCAACTTTATACTCTAGTCAAGTGGAGCATACTGACCTGAGCACAGCGGGCGGGTCTGCACGGACTCGGCAGACGAGCGTGGCATTGCGTCCTTCTTGGACGCTGACCAGAGAATCGGCGTGCACCTGAGGCGGGCAGGCGAACTGCTCGAGCGCGAGCTCGTCCCACGAGGCCGACTCGAGCCGCGGTGGACCCGCGCAGCGCGGCGGCTCTCCCAGCGGGATGTTGCGGGTGCGCATCCATCGCCGCAGGCTGCTCAGTCGGCAGTCAGCATTGCCACGGGTTGCCCTACGTGGGACGCAAAACGCTGCCGTTGGCACGAGAAGAGGCGGGATACGACGCTAACGGAATCTGCCATTCTGTGTAGAACCGTTCCACGCACTGCTTTGCCGGAGTGGCTAACAAGTTCCGGAAGCGCACTAAGCTGCGGAGTAAATGTTGCTTGAGGTAACGAAAAATGTGGATGGATGAGAAGCTATATATGGTATATCACTAATTTTACAGACAGACGGAAACACGGCAACACGAATTACATGCACTGAGGAACACCATTATGGAATCTTATCAACTTTGGTATGATCAAAGTGGCTGTTAAGTATGTATAGATATGTCTAGAATTATGCTGTCTGTTTGTAGCCTTAGCCAGCGAAAGGCTGAGCTCCATGATAGTTACATAGTAAAAGCCGAGCTTTACTTATTGCGCCATTCACTTAAGGCTCACTCGGAACAAACAAGTCGATTCTCATTTATTTAACCGCCATGTCCCCCTGATATTCGGCCTTGTGTAGACATCTTGAAAACAGAAGAATAAAGCTCATCGCTATAGGTGACACGTACAAATATCCTTCCATCCGTACAGGTAAGACTACCAATCCATTACCTGCAGATGCAACGTGGAGAGTCTCGGAAGTGGGGACACCGCTTGAGCTGGCAGTGTCGTGAGTCGATTGTAGTCGAGCAACAGAAACTCCAGTGCTGGCAGCCGTCGAGTGCGCCGGGCTCAATTGATCGCAGTTGGCACCGCGACAGGTGAAGGTACGTCAAGTGCTGGAGGCCCACGAAGCTGCCGTTGTCGAGCTGTGCGATCGGGTTGCCGCTCAGCTGCAGCCGGCGCAGGTGGGGCACACCCCGCAGCGCGGCACTGGGCACGGCCGTGAGCAAGTTCCAGCTGAGGTCCAGTTCAACGAGGTTGGTGAGCTGCTGGAAGGCGTCCCGCGCCACGCGTCCGAGTCGACACTGAGAGAGGAACACCCGCTGAAGGTCGACCAAGCCACGCTCCTGGAACGTGCGGCCGGGCAGCGAGTGGAAGTTGTTCCGTTCAAGGTGGATCACCTGCGAAACACGGTCCAATAGAGGTCATTTAAGAAAGTACTGCTAGAGACGGTCAACGCGGATGTACTATAAAATTTAAACTTCAATAAAATATAGCAGGCCTAGCCAGGTGACATCGAGTTAACTCGCGCCCGTTGTGGACCGAATAAAGCTGTTTCCCTCACTCACTTCTGAGCAAATCAGTATTCTTGGCATATCATTAGAGAAGCCTGCCAGTTGAAAAGGCCCCAGCATGTGAATGTAAAGTTTTGAATGTAAAGTTTTGTCACTATCCGTCAAGGTAGTCTGGAGATTACGGTGCCCCATTGCTATACGAGATCGAATCCGGGCTGCTGAAGGCCGCATTTTCGATGGAAGCGCGAATGCTAGAGGCCCGTGAATTTGATGTTCGGAGCACGTTAAAAGACGATCACAGCATATTGTCGCGACGTCAAGAGAGAGGTAGTACTCGAAGACGCTGAGAAAACAGCAACCGGTCGGTCTTTTTGTTAACCGCGTGAGAGAGAGTTCATCTTTTTCGTTGTTGCGTTCTGCATAAAAGCGTGCAGATGCGCGTATGCGCTGTCGCCTTCGTCTTTTTCGCGGGACGTACGTGACAATATCTATGGAGTGAATGATGATAACTGGGGCGAAGCGTCCAACCGTCCGCCCGCCCGCCCGCCCGCCCGCCCGCCCGCCCGCCCGTCCGTCCGTCCGTCCGTCCGCCCGTCCGCCCGCCCGCCCGCCCGCCCGCCCGCCCGCCCGCCCGCCCGTCCGTCCGTCCGTCCGTCCGTCCGTCCGTCCGTCCGTCCGTCCGTCCGTCCGTCCGTCTGTCCGTCTGTCCGTCTGTCTGTCTGTCTGTCTGTCTGTCTGTCTGTCTGTCTGTCTGTCCGTCCGTCTGTCTGTCTGTCTGTCTGTCTGTCTGTCTGTCTGTCTGTCTGTCTGTCTGTCTGTCTGTCTGTCTGTCTGTCTGTCTGTCTGTCTGTCTGTCTGTCTGTCCGTCCGTCCGTCCGTCCGTCCGTCCGTCCGTCCGTCCGTCCGTCCGTCCGTCCGTCCGTCTGTCTGTCTGTCTGTCTGTCTGTCTGTCTATCTACTTTCACTACAATTCCAAGCATGCACAGGAAGCTCTTTGTTCTTTTCACGGCATATGCTGTGCTGGCAACGCCGGAGGGATGGACTGCCCTAAACCATAAGGAGCTTCGCCCCTAAAGATACCTGGTTATGGTAATTTCCGGAACTCTTCACTACAGCGTCTCTGATAATAATATCGCAGGTTCGGCATGTTGAGCTCCAGAAAGTATAATGTTATCTTTGTTCTACGATTGAGGACTGGTAAGCTCTAATATTATTCACAACGTAGGCTAGACGGATGGCAACGCCGCCTTTTAGTCGGAAGTGGTCCCGCAGTTCGTTGACGCTCCTTTGCAATTTTTATAAATCACGGCGTTTTTCTTTAGTTTCTCTTTTTTTTTCTTGTCGAGAGGCGACGTTGCATTGAGTACGGTGCATATAAGACCAATATTCTTAGTAGGAGCTAGACTTAGTAGGCTAAGGTTGTCAGACAATCCCTGCGAGTCACTTTCTACGTTGTAGGACATCAGCAAAAAAAAAAAAAAAAACAGTTGTGCGCACGGTTTGCACTAACCTGCAATCCTTGGGGCAGACCCACAGGCACGGAGAAGAGACCCTGGCTGACGCACTCGGCTGTGTGCTTGCCGCCTTTCCACTTGCATGTGCAAGCGCTGGGACAATGACCCGACGACGAGGTGGCCCCGCCCGACGGAGACTCGAGACCAGCGGCTGCCGCGGCACACAGCAGCAAGGCCAGCGCTGCGCACCACATGGCTGCGGCCGGAGACATCACGTGCGACTCGTCGGTAAGCGCTGTCCTCCTTCCATCGTCACTCTCCTCTCACCGTAAAGGCGACACACCTGCGGTCAAGTCAATTCGTTGTTAATGGATGTACAAATACGGGCTTACATGATACATGCAGCATCAGGAGGCCCCAAAGTGTGATACTGCCAGGGGACCTTCTTATCATTTGAGGTTTACATCATCATCATCATCATCAGCCTGACTACGTCCACTGCAGGACAAAGGCCTCTCCCATGTTCCGCCAGTTAACCCGGTCCTGTGCTTGCTGCTGCCAATTTATACCCGCAAACTTCTTAATCTCATCTGCCCACCTAACCTTCTGTCTCTCCCTAACCCGCTTCTCTTCTCTGGGAATCCAGTCAGTTACCCTTAATGACCAGCGGTTATCCTGTCTACGCGCTACATGCCCTGCCCATGTCCATTTCTTCTTCTTGATTTCAGCTATGATATCCTTAACCCCCGTTTGTTCTCTGATCCACTCTGCTCTCTTCTTGTCTCTTAAGGTTACACCTACCATTTTTCTTTCCATTGCTCGCTGCGTCGTCCTCAATTTAAGCTGAACCCTCTTTGTAAGTCTCCAGGTTTCTGCTCCGTAGCTAAGTACCGGCAAGATACAGCTGTTATATACCTTCCTCTTGAGGGATAGTGGCAATCTACCTGTCATAATTTGAGAGTGCTTGCCGAATGTGCTCCACCCCATTCTTATTCTTCTAGTTACTTCAATCTCGTGGTTCGGCTCTGCGGTTATTGCCTGCCCTAAGTAGACATAGTCTTTTACAACTTCAAGTGCACTATTACCTATCTCGAAGCGCTGCTCCTTGCCGAGGTTGTACATTACTTTCGTTTTCTGCAGATTAATTTTAAGACCCACCTTTCTGCTCTCCTTGTCTAACTCCGTAACCATGAGTTGCAATTCGTCCCCCGAGTTACTCAGCAATGCAATGTCATCGGCGAAGCGCAGGTTACTAAGGTATTCTCCATTGACTCTTATCCCTAACTGTTTACATAGAAGGTGCATAATAGCTGCAAGAGCTAAAATTGTGGAAAAAAGTACGGAAAATGCATTCAATACAGCACAGGTTAGAGTGAAATCGAAACAGATTTATGTACCAGACACAACGACGTATACGTTCAAACATTCCTTGTCGGTGGCCCGGAGACCACTGCAAACACGCTCGAATCGGAGTCTACTTAGCAAAGTATATACGGCAACATATATGACAATAAGAGCCCGCTATGCGAGGAATGCCCAACGTTTTATCAGCATAAAACTGCCAGAAATTAGGGGTCAGTAATTCTTCGCCTTTAGGAGTTGAGCACAATAGCGATATCCTGTTCCTAGTGCGAACTTCGAACACTTAGTGCATGAGACCTTTAAGAACTTGCTGTGCACTCACTCCGTGGCCTTAAGGGAATACGCGCAGTAGTGTGCGAGTACCTTCTGTAGTGAGTTACCAAGTTTAAACCCCGAATCCATTATAATAATCACATGTTCTGACGCCCACTGGCAATGGGCGCTTGTACCACGCATTATTACCTCGATATTTCATGTTGATTGTAAAGCATATGTGTTCGTTGCTACTTTCACTACATTTCCAAGCATGCACAGGAAGCTCTTTGTTCTTTTCACGGCATCCCCAAGCAGGCAAGTGGCCGTTTTTTTTTTTTAAAGGCAAGTGGTCGTGTGGTAGACATATGTGGATATGTGGATAACATATGTGGATAGCGCATCCGTAATCAAGCAAAGTGTCTAAGAACCAAGTGCTAGCCGACAAAAAGAAATATTTAACGCTTATCAGTCTGAACAGAATAAACATGTCGGATAGAGACATATTGGCCACCTTAGTCGCATGAGATAATCACTCAAGACTTGCACCGATGCGACAGAGACATTCTTTGTCGCTGTCACTTGTTCATCTGCCCCTGCATTCTCTACAAGTTCGGTCGTGAAACCAGGTAAAAATGTAATGGTCTATATAGTTTAATGTTGACGTGAATCTGCCACTCGCAAGGAATATCGAAAGGTGAGAAGAGGTCAAATACACCATGCTTTGCACTTTTTTTTTTTTTGCACTGCATTCGCGACATCACACGCATGCAATCCCCAACTTTCTTTTTAAAAAAATTGCCAGAAAAGCTGCTGCTCATTGCCGGTCCTCGTTGCTGCCAACTGTTTCGAAAACAATGACACCAGATACAGACAAACGACTCACGTCTTTATTTTACCCAAGTCGTTGTAAGCCACGTTCATAATAAACACATCCCTGTTCCATTCATTTAGCGGTTATCGAATTCTAGTCCAGTCTTCCACTGGTAGTTCGCATGAAACCGCGACTCTGTACACGGGCTAAGAGGTTGGCGCGCTCTTATCGACCGGCCAGCGCGGTTGGACAACGTCGTTTATATTACCGCGCAAAGGCACGTCCAACGCCGTACCACAGCCCTGTCTGAAACGCACGTACACCCCGGACGGCGCAGCTGGGCTTGCCTGCGATAGTCGCCCTATCTCCTTGTCAATCGAAATCACCGCACCAGCGGCGGCAGGCAGCGGCGGTGTGACCCCTGGCGCTATTGCATGCATGGTAGTCCTGCAGTGGCATAGACATTCTCCGCGCCCTGACAGCAGCGAAAGCAGCAGCAAGACACTGTGGGGCCGCGTGGATGTGAGAAGAATGGAGATGCGCTGACAGGGAGGTGGCGCACAGGGGGTAGCGGGTCCCCTTTCGCAGCCCCTGACACACAAAGGCAATCGCTCATGGCTGGGCTAAAAGGGTGGCCGCCGCCGCGAGCGACCTGCTCTGCCCCCTCGCATCATCATCGCGAGCATTTTGGGTGCATTCGAGCGCCGCGTGAGTGTTTACCACTTTCTCGCTAAAAGGATGCAGCGCTGAGTGAGCTTACGAGAGCTGAAGAGAGACAGAAGACGCGACAGCACCCGCATGCATTCCTTGGTTAGCTGTAGGCGTATAAGTAACGGACGATGGAAGCATAGCGTTTTAGAATATAATTGCATACATATTACTCATCTATTTATTGTACCAAGAAGAAAAAGAAGGAAGGCAAATGAAAGAAAAAAAGAAGTGAGATAATCCGCGTACGACATGCTTTGCTAGAATACACACAATGTAACAAGGCCATAGCTAACTTCAGGAACCTAGAAATCACAGCTCTCAAAGCAGCAGAATACTTCTTTTTAGTTAAGTATAGGAACGTGCGTTTGGATATAAATATGACCCTTCTTTACGCAGTGACTAGGGGTCTTTGTCATGTCGGTGTCCCATGGTATTGTTTTGCAATTAATTGCTTATCGTTGCTGCACTCAAGGGAATAGCATTTTCTATATAACGTTTCTTTGTTCATGAGTACTTTGGTGCCGTTTAATCTGGAGAAAATTCATATTTTTCTTCATGCGCGAAATGGAGAAGGCGGGGGTCTTCTCTTTCAGACCGTTGTACCAGTTGTACACAATTTAAGCATACTTACTAGTAGAATGCTCATAAATATTTTAAAAACGCCTTCGGCGTTCTTATTGGTTTATCTGACTCCCCAGGAATCGTTGATAATCGTTGATGTGCATACCACTGGCAGTAGTTCACTGAACATTTTTGCCACGGATTGGACGAATTTTCGTACGACGTCACAATAAACGCGAATTTTATATGGTTATTTGACAAAAGCCTATTTACTGAGCACAGAAATTTTCAGGGTGTTATGAATCAGCGCAGCTCTAATTTGGCTGGTCAGCTGTTAACGTGCTTCCTTAGGGAGAACTAAAAGAGTTCCTCACGTGTGTTTCGTTAATTGAAAGAGCGCTTTCCTGCAAATCGAGTATTATCTCCCTTACAACAGCAAAAGAACACTTGGACCCATTAAAAACTTGTGTACGTAGATGACAGAGCTAAGTTAATGTCTCAGTCGTTGTTTTAATTGAGCTGCAATAAAATCTCGCCGTCTATATTACACTGACTGCTGGCAATAGTAAGCAGGCGAAGTCGGGAGTCCACGAGTGTGAGACCAGCATTCTCAGCACTTACACTTTGAGAGTTCGCGCTCTTGTAGAGGCCTATAGGCAGAAGAAGAATGGCGATTTGGGCTAGTTGGTTTGAATTCATGATAATAAGGGTTGCAGCGCGAGCACGAATGTGCTAGAAGAAACAGACGAAAGTCGTGGTACGGAAGTCGAGGTATAGGCAGAAGTTTGTTTTGGAGAGGGGGCGGGGAGATGCGCAATTTCGATTCGAAGTGGGGACCGGGCAGGCAAGTGTGGTCGAGTGTCATTTCCTGCTGTAGCACACGGCAGCAAAAAAACTTCAGTGTAACGTGTTTGACGTGCCGCGTTCTGGCTACGCCACTGCTCGTTTGAGTTTCTTCACCACATAGTATGTGGTGAAGATGTGGCATATGTGGGACACCACTGCCACGTGGGTTCTGTCCTTGTGCCAGTAAGGCTGAATATTATCGTGATCTGGCCGCGATTACCCATTTTATCCGCTAAGTAATTCACGTGCTTATACAAACAACCAGAAAACTGGGAAAGATCTCCAGTTGATTGACTATAGGTTGCAACAACTGCTCGATGGCTGCCGCCTCCCATTATTACAGCAGCTCCGGCGCGCACCAATATGCATTCATTGAGCGGCACATGCTTCGTGGAGTGGAGGGGTTCAACTAGTGAGTGAGAAGTCGTGTCCGACTGTTTCTCAATCGGGACGGCAGAAACGGCCGGCACTGCGGGAGAAGCGCAGGCTGCAGCGCAGCACGCCTGCTACAGCCGCTATCGCGGGCTACGCGGGGCGCCGACTGACGCACGACGCGTCAGTTGCCAGTGCGGAGGCGACCACAGCGGAGTCGCAGGCAAGCCGGCGGCGAGCTAGACGTCGTCTCCTCACGCTGCGCTGGTCGCCCGCAGTGCTACCGATAAGCCACCGCGTTGAACGCCGGAAAGCAAGGGCCTCTAATTAAACGCAACCCGCTAGCGCATGGGACCTAACCACGGCTGGCCTCCAAATTAAGCGGCGATAAGGGTTTGAACGCCGGCCTGCACCCTGCCTGCATC